ATTGAATAATTTTATTGTATCACAGTCTAAAATCATTTTCAGATTTAAATTTGGTTCCAAATTGACAGGATTCTTTCATAAACATACAAAAGTGAAATAAGGTTTAGATATAACAGCAACAGAAGCAACTGAAAAAGACCCAAAAACAGGTATTAAGTGCAGTCATCCTTTCATACTGTCTGCTATCAAAGTCGTAAGGCAATATAAACCGATAAACAAATAGGAATGACAAATATAACAGAATTCATAGACCATAAAGATAACATTATCAAATATTCGGAATTCAAATTGAAATTATTTTATTTCAGTCTTTGCCTTTGCCATCTTTTTTATGAGAAAAAATTTTAAAGCTTTGCTTGTTTTCTTCTCAAAATGCCATTCAACAGAGATAGATGACTTTCACACTTAAATTAAAATCTATTAAGAAGAACATTACATTATGCATTAATTGCACAAATTTATTTATCTCACATTCTGGACGTGTAGAGTAAAATACTTTTTCTCTTTAAATAGATACTAGTAGATAAACGTTCAATGCATAAACCAAAACATGCATTTACTTGCGTCTTTTTTCTCTTCATTTACATTAGAGATCTATCTGGCAACAGAATAACCACAATACAGGAGAATGCATTTAATGGTCTGTCAAGTCTAACACGTTTGTAAGTATAGAGTTTCTATTTTGAAAAACATACACAAAACTTACAATGCACGATTACTTCATCCACAAAAATGCTTACTATTCCATCTCTTTATTAGCAATGAAAAAAGATGAATTACTTGCATGTACCATAAACTCCTTAGACTTCATAGAATACAAATCTTGCACTATTCTATTTAATTCTACGTTATATATTATTTTAAAAATTTCATACTATATGTTATCATAGTCGTTATGCAACATGCACCGAAAAAACAAATAGGAATGGCAACCAGAAGTCTCTGACGAGACTGTAGCTCTACTGGTTTGTACTTATAACAATGGAAGATAAAAGTAGCACTTGGACTTGAAAATTTGCAACGGCAATACGTAGAATAATGATCCTTGGCGTAGTCTCTTTTTGTGGCAAGATTTATTGCAACCAGACAAACTGTAGGAGGAGTAGCCTTTTAAAAGAATTTTACAGAAATTTCAATTTTAGTAACCATGACAACATCATTCAAACAAAATCAAAAAACAATAGGGACAATTTTGTATCTTAGTGTCTTCTATGCCAAGTTATACCGAAATCAGATCAAAACTGTAGGAGGAGTAGCATTTTGAAAGTATTTCAAGGAAATTTCTATTTTTAGTAACAATGGCAACACCGTTCATTGAAATCAAAAATCGATACACAAAATTTTGTATCTTAGTGTAGTCTACTTGTGTGCCAAGTTATACTGAAATTAGACCAAAACTGTAGGAGGAGTAGGGTTTTAAAAGAGTTTCACAGAAATTTCTATTTTTAGTAACCATGGCAAAGCCGTTCATTGAAATCAAAAATCAATATACAGAATTGTGTATCATAGTCTAGTCTACTTGTGTGCAAAGTTATATTGAAATCAGATCAAAACTGTAGGAGAAGTAACGTTTTGAAAATATTTCAAGGAAATTTCTATTTTTAGTAACCATGGCAACACCGTTCATAGAAATCAAAAACCGATAAAGAGAATTATGCATCTTAGTGTAGTCTACTTGTGTACCAAGTTATATTGAAATCACACTGCAACTGTAGGAGGGGTAGCATTTTGAAAAATTGTTTACAGACAGACAGACAGACGGACGGACAACGGACACCTTACTATCGCATAAGCTCTTCTGGTCTCTGACCAGTAGAGCTAAAAATGACAGAATTTATAGAGCATACAGATAACTTTATCAATTATTCGGAATTAAAATTACAATTATTTCACTCCAGTCTTTGCCTTTGCAGTCTGTTTTTCTATAAGTTTTTGATAGTTCAGCTTGTTTTATCAAAATGCAATTCAAAAGAAATGACATGCACCCTAATTTTCATTAGAAAGACCATAGCATTGTGCATGAATAGCTGAAATTAGTTAATCTCACATTCTGAACGTGTTGAGTCAAATAAAATAATTTAACTATCTCTTGATAGTTAAACATTGAACATATAAACCAGAACAATTACTTAAAGTCTTTCCTCTCTACATTTACATTAGAGGTCTATTCGGGAACAGCATATCCACAATAGAGGAGAATGCACTTAATGGCCTGTCAAGTCTATTGCGTCTGTAAGTAAAGAAGTTGTAACTTAGATTACTGTAAATATATCGATCACTGTTTTAAATTCAACATTATTAGTTTTGAGTTTTTCATGTTATTGTTTCAATTCTTGCAAGATAAGTTCTCCAGTCTGTGTTTATAATACAGTAATATGTCAGCATTATACTTCATCAATTAAGGTTGTATGTTGATTAAGCATATTATATTTATAGAAAGAAACATAGTAATTGTAGCTTTAGGGATAGGGAGTCAGACTGAAAGATGATTAAGTACACGTATAATATTGCAATGTCCAAGATGCACATTTAAAGCTAGACGTTTTTTTCCTTTGCTAGATCTTTATAGGGCCAATAATTCAAATGTAAGGCTTGACTTTGAAGCACTTTAATCTATTCTTTTCTGCATGTTTTTGTACATTATTTTACCACATATATTATTATTGACAAAAAATTAGTAGGACATAAATGATATTGCATTCCTAAAATAAGATTAAAAACATTCTTTCCACCCCAAAGAAAAATGCATTTTTAAGTATAGATTACGAAGACCCATGATAGCATGGATTTATTTTGAAAAACATACAGAAAACAAACATTGAACGATTACTTCATACACAAAAAACCCTTACTATTCGATTTCTTTATCGGTTATGAAAAAAGACGAATTACTTGTGCAAAGAATTTAAAAGACTTGATAGAATACAATCTTGCACTACTCTATCTAATTCTATACATTATATTAATTGAAAAATGTTTATGCTATCAAATTTGTGATGCAACATACACCCATAAAACAAATAGGAATGATAAAAAATGACAGAATTTATATAGAATACAGAAAACATTATCAATTATTCAAAATTAAAATTACAATTATTTTATTTCTGTCAATGCCTTTGCCATTTATTTTTATAAGGTAGAATTTTGACAGTTCTGCATGCTTATCAAAATGAAGATCAAAAGAGTCAACATTTGCACTAATTTTCATTAAAAAGAACAGAAAATTGTGCATGAATTACAAAAACTTGTTTTTCTCCCTTTTCAAAATATGTAGAGTAAAATAAAATATTTTTCTCTTTTTCTATTAGTATATGAATAAACATTTAATCTATAAATCTGAAAAAGTACTTACCTGTGCATTTTTTCTCTACACTTACATTAGAGATCTATCCGACAACAGGATAACAGCAATACATGAGAATGCATTCAATGGTCTGTCAAGTCTATGGTATCTGTAAGTATAGATATTCAGACAGATAACTATGAACCAGTCAAATAACTCTTTTTCACCGATTTAAATTCTGAAATTCCAAATTTCAGTTTTTCATATCATTGTTTTAATTCTTTCAATATAAATGTTCCCAGCTATATCTTAAAAGACAGGAATATTTAAGCATTATATATCATCATTTAAGGATGTATTTTGATTAAGAATATTACAATTATAAAAAGATTCATAGTGATTGTAGCTCTGAGGATAGTTAGTCCGATTTAGAGGTGAATAAGTATATGTATGATATTTAAATATCCAAGATACGATTGAAAGATCGCTATATTTCAATATCCAAGATGTGCATTGGATCAAGGTTATATATATTTTTTCTTTGATCGATCTTTACAATGAAAGATAAATGAGAAATATAATTATTTGGAATTTGGAATTCGAAAACTCACTGATTTAAATTCTGAAATTCCAAATTTCAGTTTTTCATATTATTATTTCAATTCTTTCAATATAACTGTTACCAGCTATATCTTAATAGACAGGAATATGTAAGCATTATATATCTTTCAGTGTTTTTTTTTTCTCTTCATTTACATTAGAGGTCTATTCGGGAACAACATATCCACAATACAAGAGAATGCATTTAATGGTCTGTCATGTCTATTGCGCCTGTAAGTATAGGATTTCTAACTTAGATTACTGAATCAAACAACTCTTTCATCACCGTCTTAAATTCAACATTTCCCATTCTGAGTTCTCCGTAATATTGTTTTAATACTTTCAGGATAAATGCCCCAATTTGTATCATTAAATACAGTAATATGTAACCAATATACTTCATCAATTAAGATGTTTCTTGGTAAAGAATTTTAAGATATTACATTCATAAAAGGATTCATAGTGATTGAAAATTGGGAGGCAGACTGAGAGAGGAATAAGTAGACAGTAGAATATTTTTAAATCCAAGATGCACATTGAAAGATGGCTACATATGTTTCCTCTTTGATAAATCTTTACAATGACAGAGAAATGAGAAATATAAATCGTTATATACTATGCTTATTTCCGTAAGACTAAGCATCATAAAAGACTCTTCCTTTCTTTATTATATAGCTTATAAAGTTTGTACTAAATATTTCATAGTGATAGATTCTCAGTTTTACTTTATAAGGTCAAAAATTCAAATGATTACATTATGTAGGCTTGGCTTTGAAGAAAAATTTCTCCCCTACCCTACGAAAATGATTTGTTTAAAAACATATTACGAAAAACCATGATAGCACTGACTTCTTAAGAAAATATATCCGTTTTGAAAAACATACAGAAAACATACATTGAACGATTACTTCAGCCACAAAAACACTTACTTTTTTATCTCTTTATCGACACTGAAAAAAACTACCTTGTGCCAATAATTTACAAGACTTAACAGAATATGAATCTTGCACTATTCTATATAATTGTGTGCTTTCTTATGATTAAAAAATATCATACTCTTTGTTTTCAAAATCGTTATGCAACATACACTGAGGAACAAAAAGGAATGACAAAAATGACAGAATTTATGGAGCATACAGATAACATTGTCAATTATAGGAATTTACTGTAACAATAATTTTATATCAGTCTACGCCTTTGCTAACTATACTTTTATGGGATAAGTTTTTGATAGTTCCGCTTGGTTATCGAAATGCAGATCAAACGAGATGATATTCACAATTATTTTCATTAAAACCAATGGAACATTGTGCATTAATTGCACAAACTTGTTAATCTAAACTTTGTAAAATGAGTAGAGTCAATGATAAAATTCTTTTTCTAGACATTGAATATGTAAACCAAAAAACATTCTTAATTGTTTCTTATTTCGCTTTTCTCTACATTTATTTAGAGATCTATCTGACAACAGTATAACCTGCATACATGAGGTTGAATTTAATAGGCTGTCAAATCTATCGAGACTGTAAGTATAGAATTTCTAACTAAGATTATTGCGAATCAATTAAAGATATCCTTTTATCGCCGCTTGGATTCAACATTTAAAAATTTGAACTTTTTCACATTATCGCTTTAATTCTTTCAATATAAATGTTCCAAGCTGCATCCTAAAATACAGTAATTTATAAGCATTATACTTCATGAATTAGGATGGTTGCTAAATAAATTGAAGAATATAACATTCATTTAAAGATTCAAAGTGATTGTAGCTCTAACGATTAGGAGTCAGACTGAGGGAGGGATAGCTGGATGTCAGATATTTTAAATCAAAGATGCACATTAAAATATGGCTACACATGTTCCTCGTTGAAAAATCTCTACAATGAAAAAAAAACCTAGAAATGAAAATCATTACATAGTGTGCTTATTTCCGTAAAATTAAGAATCAAAAGATTTTTCTTGTCTCTGTTTTACAGTTTGTTAAATTTGTATAAAATATTTTACAGTGATATAATCCACGTTTTTCTTTAGGGTAAAGAAATTAAAATGATTAGGCCTCGACTTTGCAGCACTTTAATCTTTTCTTTTCTGAATTCTTTTGTCCATTATTTTACAACTTATATTATTATTGGCAGAAATTTTGATAAGATATTATTCCTAAAATAAGATTTAAAAATTTCTCCCCTTTCCCGAAGAAAAATGAATTTTTAAAAACATATTAGGAAAACCCATGGTAGCACTAAGTTCTTAAGAAAATATATCTTTTTTGAAAAACACAGAAAATATCATTGAACGATTAATTCATCACAAAATAACCTTGTGTACTATTCCACAACGTTGTTGGCTATGAAAAAAGACAAGTTACTTGTTCTATAAATTCATAACACTTGATAGAATACAAATATTGCACTCTTCTATTTAATTCTGTGTCTTCTAATGATTTAAAACTTCCATAATATTTGTTTTCAAAGTCGTTATGCAACATACACTGACAAACAAATAGGAATGAAACAAATGAGAGAATGTATAGAGCATACAGACTTTATCAATTATTCGGAATTAAAATTACTATCATTATATTTCATTCTTTGTCTTCGCTATATATTTTTATGAGATGTATTTGATAGTTCATTTAGTTTGTCAAAAGAGATGACATTCACACTAATTTTCATGAACTGAACATTAAATTGAGCATTAATTGCACAAAATCACACCTTCTCAACGTGTAGAGTAATTTTTTTTTCTTACTGTACACAATTAAACATTTATTATTTATTTATTTATTATTATTTACAAGTATTTACTTGTGTTTTTTTTTCCTCCACATTTACATTAGAGATCTATCCGACAACAGCATAACGAGCATACAGGAGAATGCATTTAATGGTTTGACAAGTCTTACACGTCTGTAAGTAAAGAATTTCTTACATGCATTACTGTGAATAAATCAAAAAACTCTCTGATCACTGTATGAAATTCAAATTTGAGTTTTTCATGATATCGTTTTTATTCTTTCAAGCTAATTGCTCCAAACTGTATCTTTAGATACAATAATTTGTAAGCATTCTACTTCATCAGATTTTGATGTGTGTTAATTAGGAATATTAAATTTATGGGGAAAAAATCAAAGTGATTGTAGCTTTAGGGATAGGGAGTCAGACTGAGAGATCTCTACAATGACAGATAAATGAGACATGTAAATCGTTATAAAATTTGCTTATTTCTGTAAAACTAAGCACCATAAAAGACTTTTCCTTTCTCTGTTTTACAGTTTGTTCAGTTTGAAGTAACTATTGCATTGTGATAGATTTCAAGTTTTCTTTAAAGGGTCAAAAAATTAAAATGATTAGGTTTGACTTTGAGGAGCTTTGATCATTTCTTTTCTGCATGATCTTGTTTATCATTTTTGCCACGTTTATTATTACTGACAAAAATATTGCTAAGATATGACATTGTATCCCTAAAATAAGACTTATCCCCCCCCCCAAAAAGTACTTTTAAAAACACATTACGAAGACCCATGATACCACTGGATTCGTAAGAAAATATATATCTACATACAGAAAATACACATTGAAAGATTACTTTACCAAAAAATACCTTTACTATTCCACCACTTTATCGACTATGAAAAAAGACGAGTTACTTATGCAATGAATTCATCAGACTTGATAGAATGCAAATCTTGCACTATTGTATCTAATTCTATTTATTCTAATGATTTAAAAAAATCATACTCTGTTATAATAGTCGTTTGTCTGTTTGTTTGTTTAACGTCTTTTTCGAGAATTTTTACTCATATTGAGACGCCAACACTTGCCGATGGAGATCTGCAAATTTTGGATCTATACTCGGCATTCAGGACTATTGAGCAATCAGGGATCTTTTTTGTGCCAGCACCTACTTCGAAATGGGTCCTCGGTTTATACGGTCTCATCCGAAGGACCGGTCTCTACGTTCCGCAGTAGGATTCGAACCCGCGAGGTAAGGATCAACTCCTTACTCTGCGACTCTGGAGCAAACGCTTTAACCACTGCGCCACGCGAGCAAATATCATATTTGTTATGCACCATAACAAACACCGACAAACAAATAGGAATGACAAAAATGACAGAATGTATAGAGCATGCAGAAAACATTATCAATTATTCGGAATGGAAATTACAAGCACTTTATTTCAGTCTATGCCTTTGCTGGCTAATTATTAAACATTAAATATATAAATCATAATATACACTTACTTGTGTCTTTTTCTCTCCATTTACATCAGATATCTATCCGGCAACAACATAAGCAGCATACAGGAGAATGCATTTAATGGTTTGACAAGTCTAACACGTCTGTAAGTAAAGAGTTTTGACTTAGATTACTGTGAATAAATCAAAGAATTCTTTGATCACTGTTTTAAATTCTTCAGTTCAAGATTTTTGTTTTTCATGATATCGGTTTAGCTGTTTCAAGCTAATTGCTTCAAATTGTATCTTTAAAAATATGCCAGCATTATACTTCATCAATTTTTGATGTGTGTTCATTAAAAATAAATTTATAAAAAGAATCATAGTGATTGTAGCTTTAGGGATAGGGAGTCAGACTGAGAGACGAATAAATAGACGTAGGATATTTTTAAATCTAAGTCGCACATTACAAGATAGCTACACATGTTTAATTTTTCTTTGATAGATCTCTACAATTACAGAAAAATGAGAAATATAAATTGTTATATAGTGTTCTTATTCCATAATAATAAACATCAGAAAACACTCTTCTTTACTCTGTTTTACAGTTTGTTTAGTTCGAAGTAAATATTTGAAAGTGATATATTCCGAGTTTTTCTTTAAAGGGTCAAACAATTCAAAAGATTAGGCTTGACTTTGAAGCACTTTAATCTTTTCTTTTCTACATACTTTTGTTCATCATTTTGCCACGTATATTACTATTGACAAAAATATTGCTAGGAGATAAAAAAAAATATTTTATTCCTTAAAAAGATTAACAAATCCCCCTTCCAAAGAAATATGAATTTTTAAAAACAAATTACGAAGTCCCATGATAGCACTGAATTCTTAAGAAAATATTTCTATTTTGAAAAAAAAACCCATATATTTCAACATTTACTTCCGCCACAAAAACCCCCTTAATATTCCATTTCTTTATCGGCGATGAAGATAGACGAGTTACATTTCCTGCATAAGTTCATAAACTTGATGGAATACAAATATAGCACTATTCTATTGAATTCTATGTATTGTATTAATTTAAAAATTTCATACTCTATATTATCATATTCGTAATGCAACATACACTAACAATGAAATAGGAATTACAAAACTGGCACAATTAATAGGGAGTACAGATAACATTATTAATTATTCAGAACAAAATCACCATTATTTTATCTCAGTATTTGCCTTTATCATCTATTTTTTATGAGAGAAAGTTTTGACAGTTCTGCTTGTTCATCAAAATGCAAATCAAAGAGATGACAATCACACTAATTTTTGTTAAAATGAACATAAAAAATACGTGCATTAATTACACAAACTTGTTAATCTCATCTTTTCAAAATGTTTCGAGCCAAATAAATTTTTTTCTCTCTTTCTCTAGATAGATAAACATTGAATCTAAATCAGAACAAGTACTTACTTTGTCTTTGTTCTGTACATTTACAGAGGTCTTTCCGGCAACAGCATAACCACAATACAGGAGAATGCATTTAATAGTCTGTCTAGTCTACAGTATCTGTAAGTATAGAATTTCTAACTTAGATTTCTGTGAATCTTTTTCCTGTGAATTACTTTTTTCACTGAAGTAATTCAGATATTCCAAATTTGAGTTTTTCGTGTTATCGTTTTAATTCTTTCAATATAAATGTTCTAAATTGTATCCTAAAAAACAGGAATATCAATATTATATTTATTTTTCTTCATATCAATTAAGTATGCGTGTTGATTAAAGATATTACATTGATAAAGAGATTCGTAGTGATTGTAATGAAAAAAGGTAAAGATAACGAACAGTGACCGATCTCACCTCAAAAAATCAACAAACTACACAAATCTGGACACGGACACCCGGAAATACCAGAGGTGGGATCAGGTGCCTATGAGGAGTAAGCATCCTCTGTTGACCGGTCGCACCCGCCGTTAGCTCTATGTATTTATCAAGTAGACGTAACATTCCGTAGTCAAGTTTAGTATCAAAACAAAGGCCTAACAATTGGTATGAAAATCTGGAGATAGGGAGTCAGATTGAGAGACGAATAAGTACATGTTTGATATTTAGATATTCAAGATGGACAATGAATGATGGCTACATATATTTCTTATGTGTCAGCCATGTTTTGACGTGAACCTCAACCGAAATACTGTTATATGACACCTGCAAGCAAGAGCAACCCAAAGTACCACAAAGATATTTTAAACAAAGAAAGTGCATATGTAATATTCTTAAATGACAAAATATCTTTCTGGTATATTCAGGCGCTCGTATTTTGTAGAACGTAAGAATGTTGAAAATACTGACCTTCTTACCGTTTTTTCATGATTATGCAAAATCCAAGTCCTCTTAAATTTATTTTACAAACAAATAAGAAGAAATATGATATGTTTCATAAGAAGAACTTGTTACCAATTTTTAAAAGACTTTTGGATTTTTTTTGATTATCAGTAATTTATTAAGAAATTCGGGGGCCATCCGGATTATATAGAGCATGCAGATAACATAAGCAATCGTTAGGTATTACAACAGTAATAATGTAGCCTTTGATTTTGCCATCCATTTTTTTTATGAGATAACTTTTTGATATTTCTACTGGTTTATCAAAATGCAGAGCAAAAGAGATAACATTCACACTAATGTTCATTCAAAGAACATAAAATTGTGTATTAATTGCATAAACTTAGTAATCTCATCTTTTAAAAGGTGTAGAGTGAAATAAAATATTTTTTCTCTTTCTCTAGATAGATAAACATTGAATTTATAAACCAGAAAAGTACTCATTTATATTATTTATATTTCCTCTACATTTACATTAGAGGTCTATCATTCAACCGCATAACCGCAATAGAAGGAAATGCATTTAATGGTCTGTCAAGTCTATCGAGTCTGTAAGTAAAGAATTTTTAATTTAAATTACTCTGAATCAATAAAGAACTCTTTTATCACTGCTTTCAATTCAACTTCTATTTCCAAATTTGAGTTTTTCACGCTATCGGCATAATTCATTCAACACAAATGTTCCAGACTGTATCCTCAAAGACAGTTATATGTAACATTATACTTAATCAATTAAGGGTGGATTATGATAAAGGACCTTACATTTATAGAAAGATTAATAGTGGTTTAGGCTCTGAGGATTAAGAGACGAAAAAGTAAATGCATGATGTTCTATAATCAAAAATGCACATTCAAAGATGGCTGCACATGCTTTTTTTCTTAGATAAATCTTTAAAATGAAGAAGAAATGAAAAATTTATAAATCGTTATATATTGTGCTTATTTCCGTAATAATAAGCCTCATAAAAGACTCATCTTTACTCTGTTTTACAATTTGAAAAGTTTTAAGTAAATATATTTTATAGTGAGGCATTCCAAATTTTTCTTTATAGGGTTATAAAATTCAAATGTTAGGCTTGACATTGAAGTGCTTTAATCTCTTATTTTCTGTATGCTTTTGTCCCTAAGTTACCAAGTAGTTTAGAATTGAAAAAAATATTGCTAAAACATAAATGATATGGTATTTCTAAATAAGGATTAAACATTTTACGGAGATTTGTGATAGCACCATCTTCTTATATACAAAAATATATCTATTTTGAAAAAACAGAGAAAACATACATTGAGCGATTGCTTCATGGACAATTTTTTTTTTTACCTTTTCCATCTCAATATCGGCAATAAAAAATACGAAGAACTTGTGTTATTAATAATAGCTATTTCTATGTATTCTAATGATTTGATAAAATTCATATTCTACAAGTTACCCTAATCGTAATACAATATACACCAACAAACAAATAGGAATAACAAAAATGACAGAATTGATAGAGCATACATATAACATTTATCACATTTTGAATTAAATCACAATCATAATAATTCAGTCTTTGCCTTTGCCATCTACATATTTTAGTATGAGATGAGTTCTTTTACTAGTTCCACTTTTTATCAAAATGCAGATCAACAGAAAAGACATTCAAAGTAATTTTCATTAACATTAATTGCACAAACTTGTTCATCTCACCTTCTAAACTTGTAGAGGAAAATATTTTTTTTCTCTTTCTCTAGATAGATAAACATTGAGTATTTAAAACAGAACTAGTACTTACTTGCGTCTTTTTTCTCTCCATTTACATTAGATATCTATCCAACAACAGCATAACTACAATACAAGAGAATGCATTTAATGGTCTGACAAGTTTATCGATTCTGTAAGTCTAGAATTTCTAACTTAGATTACTGTGAATCAATTAAAGAACTCTTTTATCACTGTTTTGAATTCAACAATTAATTCCAAATTTGAGTTTTTCATGTTATCGTTTTAATTCTTTCAATATAAATTTTCCGAACTGTAACCTAAAAGACAGGGATATGTAAGCATAATATATCATTAATTAAGGATGTGTTTATTAAGAACATTAAATTTATAAAAAGATTCATAGTGACTATAGCTCTGAGGAAAGGGAGTCAGATTAAATGATGATGAGTGGACTTTTATATTTCGAAATCCAAGATGCATATTGAAGATTGCTTCACATATTTTTTTTTCTTTGATAGACCTCTACAATAACAGAGAAATGAGAAATATACATTGTTACCTAGTGCGCTTATTTTCGTAAAACTAAGCACCATAAAAGGTTTTTTTTTGCACTCTGTTTTACAGTATGATAAGTTGAAGTAAATATTTTTAATATTTTTAGTGAGAGATTTCAAGTTTGATTTATAGTGATTTTAAAATCCAAGATGAAAATTGAAAGATGACTTCATATGTTTCGTTGTCCTTTGATAGATCTTTACAATAATGGAGAAGTGAGAATTAGAAATTGTAATATAGTGTGTTTATTTTCGTTATATTACATCATTTAATCCATTTTTTTTTTTTTACTGTTTTACAGTTTGTTAAATTTTGGAGTAAATATTTTATAGTGAAAATTCTTTTTTTTTCTTCACAGAGTAAAAATAATAACTGATGAGGCTTAAATTGACTTTGAAGGGAATTAATCTCTTCTTTGCTGCATGTTTGTGTCCATTATTATTTCAAATATAGTATTATTGACAAAAATATAACTAAGAAATAAAATATATTGTATTTAAAAAATAAGAACAAATTTTTTTCCTCTTTTCTTTTCTGCATGTCTGTGTCCATAATTTTTTTAAAGTATATTATCATTTCCAAAAATATTACCAAGATTTAAAAGACATTGTACTAAAAAAATAAGAATGAAAAAAAGTCTCCTCTTCCTCGAAGAAAAATAATTTTTTGAAACAAATTACGAAGTCCCACAGCAGCTCTGAAATCTTTAAAAAAAATACATTTAAAAAAAAATACAGAAATCATACATTCGACTATTACTTCCTCTAAAAAAATCTTTACTATTCCATCTCCTTATAGTTAAACAAAAAAAGAGCCGTTGTCTGTGCCATAAATTCATAAGACTTGATAAAACACAAATCTTGCACTATTATATCTAAATCTATCTATTCTGATAATTTTAAAAATCCTTTCCTCACCCGCGTGGCTCAATGGTTAGTGCGTTTGCTCTAAAGTCGCGGAGTAAGGAGATGATCATTACGTCGCGGGTTCGAATCCCACTGCGGGACGTGGAGTTGAGGTCCCCTGTCGCAGTAAGAGCTGGCACAAAAAAGATCCCCCACTGCTCAATGGCCCTAAGTGCCGAGTATAGGTCTAAATTTGCATCCCTCGACCGGCAAGTGGTGGCGTCTCCATATGAGTGAAAAATTCTCGAGGGGGCGTTAAACAAAAAAAATAAATAAATAATAAGTTAATACATTCTTTCTGTATGTTATTTAGTCGCAATGCAACATATAGGAAAGACAAAATAGGAATGACAAAAATGACAGAATTTATAGATCATACAGATAACATTATCAATTATAAAGAATTAAATCACAATCATCATAGTCGCCCGCGTGGCGCAGTGGTTAGAGCGTCTGCTCTAGAGTCGCGAAGTAAGGAGTTGATCCTTATGTCGCCGGTTCGAATCCCACTGTGGGACGTGGAGATCGGTGCTTCGGGTGAGACCGTATAAACCGAGGTCCCGTGTCGAAGTAGGTGCTGGCACGAAAAGATCCCTCACTGCTCAATGGCCGTAAGTGCCGAGTATAGGACAAAATTTGCAGCTCTCCACTGGCAATTGGTGGCGTCTCCATATCAGTGAAAAATTCTCGAGAGGGACGTTAAAAACATACAAACAAACACAATCATCATATTTCAGCCTTTCCCTTTGCTTTTTTATTTTTGTATACGTTTTCGATAGTTCTGCTATTTTAACATGCAGATCAAAAGAGATGACATTCACATTAATCTCACTTTTTCAAAAGGCGTAGAGTAAATTAAAAAATATTTTTCTATTTTTCTAGATAGAGATCAGCGCCAATTTTCAATTATGAATCAACATGAAAATTTTGGCCATTTAGATTCAAGCTTCTGTATAACGACTCTAAAAAATAATTCCACATCAATGGTCTTTCATTTCATTTAGCATTAAAACTACACACTAAAGTTT